CCGCCGCCCCCCGCCGCGCCAGGTGGACGTCTGCGGGAGTCTGAAGCCCGATGCTCCGGTCCTGGCGCTTTTACAAAGGGCGCGTCTGGAGGTGTCCGGGCTCACCCGAGCTTCCTTCCAATCCGTGCAATTTCAAACCTCCACTCTCCTTCGCTCCTATACCGGCTAATTCTGGTTTGGCAGGGGGAAAAAAACCTGCAGTCACCTCACAGGCACACTCTTGTGGCCGGTTGAAGTCTGCGCTTTGGCTGAGGTTTGCTAATGCTCTGCTTGGTTGACGGGAGGAAGGGGCCAGAAGCCTAACCCGAGATGCCAGTGAGCATAGAAGCGGCTCCCATTTTCCTGGGATAGGAAAGAAGCGATGAATCGACCCTAACCTGAATCTGGGCCTCAAAATATAGCATGTTGTAAAGCGAAGAGGAGGATGGCAGGACCTGCGATACTATTTTTGGCCAAAGCGGGCTGAAAATCCCTCATCTTTTGTTCCTCTCTGGGTACCACTTCTTCCCATCTTTCTGCTGTTTTTGTTGTCTACATTCACGGGCACCGGGCACCCATCTCACTTCCGTTCCTGCCCTATTCCCGCGAAGGCCCCCATCACACCGCTCTGCCCTTGGCAAGTTTTCAGTACCTGTGTGATCCTGCAGCCAGCGAGCTTTTACACGACCTAACAGTTCAGCAGCTTTCTGCTGCTGCTGTTAGCATTTACTCCAGACTCGGGGGCCGGAAACACCACAGATTCCTGATTTACCGTTCTGGGGACCAGGAGTCTGAAATGGGTCCTACTGGGCTAACATCACACTGGTGGCGCCGAGAAGGCCGTGTCCCTTCCAGTAGCCCTCGTGGCAAGGCGCTGGGCTGTAGAGGCTGCCCGACTGCCTCTCACCACTTCCTCCTCTGCACGGGCAGCAGTGTTGGGTCACCCTGTCTTCCAGAATCATGGCTCCCGCTTGCTGTCTCAGTTCTTCTGCTCTGGGGATGCTCGCCTACCGGGATAATCCAGACAGGTGCCCTGTCTTAAGGTCTACGGATTAGCACCTTTACTCCGTCTGCCGCCTTAACTCTCTTTTGGCTATGGGAGATAACGTTCGACACGTTCCAGGGATAGGATGCGGGTGTCTTTGGGGAGACCATTATTCTGTCTACCACAGATGTCTTTCTCTTTCTTTTTCTTCTTGCAAAAAACATGCATCTTGTATTTTATGTTGTTATTTCTTACATCCACTCTTGATTATGAAATAACAGACGATTGTGCGAAACTGTGGTGAACCGAGAATTTTAGCGAGGCGCTGGGCTGAGCGGGCCACTTTGGCTGATGAGAGCGCTAGCACATGGAAATGCGGAGTCCTCACCTAGCGCTCATTTCAGCCGGGCTTTTGACAGCAATTCAAGATTGGGGTTCTTAGCAGATGTATTGAGGTATGACTGGTGTAGCACGAACTGCACATATTTAAGGCACACTTGTGTGTGTCTGTGTGTGCGTGGCTGCGTGTGCTCTGGCGATGCGTCCAGGGCCTTGTACATGCTGCTGAGCACCCTGCCACTGAGCTACACCTGCAGCCCCAAGGGGCATTTTACACTTAGGAGTCTGACGTAAGCCTGCGCAATCGCAGTTGCTTGTGCCCCTATGGCAGTCCAGTCCTTAGTTTTCCCTCCCGCCCCTGGCAGCCACTCTTACCGGTACTCCGAGAAGCTTCAGCTCTGGCCTGCAGACACCTTGCACCTAGAGTTCCCACGGAAGGCTGTTTTGGAATGTCCTTCTGTCTGCACAGTAGCATTGCTCTTACCTGCCTGTGGCTCTCTCACTGGCACAGGTTGACAGCGATCCTCTCTGTCCAAAGAAGCGAAGAAGTGGGACTCATGGCTTAGCTAACTGGGTTAAATGCGTACGAACCCCCATCAGTTAGGACACAAAAACCGAGCACTGAACTCTCTCCATGTGTCCGCAGGAGAGGAGCCTGGGATCCCTTTGATTTGTCGGCTTGTGACGTTCTGTCCCAAGTTAGCAGCCTTGCCTTTAACTGAACTGTGCTGGGTAGCAGCCTTGCCCTCTAAAGGAAGCGACTGATTCAAGGGCTGCCGCTAAAAGCTGCCATCCCAGTTCCAATCGTGCGCCCAGCTCCAGGCACGACTTGGTGTGGCACTGAGGATTTGGGCCGCCCTTGCTACAACTGTGAAAGCTTGGCAGCATGGGTTAGACACACAGTGGGACAAAATCAGCCCTCGAGGAAGTTGCTAGCACCAAACATTGAAGGTCTGAGGGACGTTCCCTGAAGTGTCACCCTCACTAGGCAGCCCAGATATGCAGATGACCTGAGACTTGCAGAGGTGTCCTTGATCCCTCTCTCAGGCCCAGGGCAGCTCCTCCCCTGGCCCTCCACTCCCCAGTTCTCTGGGCTGAGTGTAGGGAGACCAAAGACCGCAACTCCGGCCACCTGACCCTGAAACGCAGCTGTGCTCAGAATGCACAGGACAAGCCCCAGCCTGAGGTTTTAGGAGGGGGAAGGAAATGCTCTGTCTTACACAGGACCAGAAGCACAGCCTTGTATCGAAGCCTCACCTGGTCTTGGCTCCTAGGGCTGCTTCGCTCGCCCAGCACGAGCCTCTCTGACTGGCTTCGTCTTCCCTGAAGTGCTGGAGCTTCCCCCAGGCGGGATCCTACTTCCTGGGTCTGGGCAGTCACTTCCTGTCTCTTCTTCCTACCCAGCACTCTCCAGTTTCAGACATCGAGTGTGGTGAGGACAGAAGAAGGTCAGACACCTTATAGCGGCCTTCAGTGGGCTGCAGGCCCACGATAGCCCCGGGGAGACAGTGGACATTGTGTCCAGGTGCCCTGTCAGTGTGTTTTCAAATTCTGAGAAGGCCTCTCTTTTTCATGCTTTATTCGTGGACCACGTAGGACAGTGGTGACTTTTTAGCTTTTCGTTTATACATCCATTCAACTAGGATCTGCTCAGCATCTGTGCTGACAAAACCACAGAACTAACAGGAATATGCTCCTTCATTGAGTTTATGCTCCAGGGAGTGCAAGAGAAATAATAAAGACAAATAAGATATATACATATATATGTATGTATATATCATAGATGTATGTATGTGTATAACTATGTGGCAGGTTAGATAGGACAAGCGCTAAGGAAGGAAAATAAGCATGCGCAGGGAATATGAAGAATTGCAGAGGTAAGAAATTTTAGGTGGGAGAATCAGAAGGAAGCTCATTCTAGTGGAGGGTATGGCAGGTGCAAAGGCTCTGAGGTACAGAAAATGCCTATTGGTCATCCTAGATCTTGAAAATCACAGAAGGAAAGCTGACTTTGTTCAGAGATGGGAAGTCACTGACAGTGCTGAGCAGAGTGGTGACATGAGCAGATGAGCATTTGTCAATATCCCACTAACAGAGACACAGCTTGAGAAGTGACTGCAGGGGAATGGGGCGGGGTGGAGGCAGAAGTAGAAAAACCAGTTAGGAGGTGATTACAATAATCCAAATGTGAGTTAAGGGCTACTTGAGTAATGGTGGTGAAAAGAGAATAATTTTTTTTCAGTAGTGGGGATTTTCACTGAACTACATCCCCACCCTTTTTAATTTCAAGACAAAATCTTGCTAAGTTCCTGAATTCCTGAGACTGCCTGCAATCTTCTTGCCTCAGCCTCCTGGAGTACTGAAACTGCAGGTATGCACCACTGTGCCAGGCTCTGCTTCTGCTTGACATTGTACTAGAAGTTCTAAATAGAGCCATTGGCCAAAAATAAATCAATTAATAAATTGAAAAAATAAAAAGATAGAGAAAGAAGGAAAGGCATCCAGACTGGAAACAAAAAAGTAAAATTATCTTTATTTGTAGTTGATGTGATTACATACAAAAAAATCATATGGAACCCACTAACGTGTCAGAACTAGCAAATAGGAGTTCAGTAAGTTTCAGGATGCAAAATCAAAGGTATTTATATATGCTCACGATTCCACTTCCAATAGCCTTACCCATAATTTTAAAAGTTGGCAACAGAGTCAAAGGAAGTGCCAGACTTGAATTCTGGAACTTACAGAACATGACTGAAAGAAACTGAAGGATTGAAAGAACTGAGGAGGTGGATGCAGAGACATCGCTCTGGACACCCATGGCCTTGCGCCCCAGGTTCTTTCTGTAAGCCCCAGCTGGCCAGGCCGAGTCCCCAGCTGGACTTGCTCTGGCTTCTTTGTAAGACAGAATGAGACGATGTCGACACATTAGGAAGGAAAAGTGCCAGTGCGGGGACATGCTCAGGATCGGCTACTCAGTGAGCACGAAACCCAGGGCTCTGTCCTCTTCCTCCCACGAGCAGCACAGCAAGCGTGGTGGCGGCAGCCGAGAGCGCACAGTGCTCAGGTTGCATACTCTGAGGTCAGCAGGCCTGTGCTGGAGGCCAGCTCCTTCCTCTCTGCGCACTCCTGCGGCCTGGCCAGCAGCCCTCCAGTGAGTACAACAGCAGCTTAGTCACAGGGCAACTGCAAGGGTTAAAGGAGATAACACATGTAAAGCACCATAGCTGGTGTGTCGTTAGGGAATTTGTTTCTAAAGTAGGGACAGCGGTGTTGTCCAAACCCATCCCCCTGCACAGATAAAATTGGACTGCACCCGTGTGCTTCAGAGAGGCAACGTAAATGAGTGGTGAAAGGCACAAAACCTGGAGCCTCAATGACTGGATTGAAATCAATCGCTCTTCGTCTCTGTCTTCCCCTTGGGTTTTTTGAGACAGGGTCTCACTTCTATTGTCCAGGATGGCCTTGAACTCATGATGCTCCTCTTGCCTCAGCCTCCAAATGCTGAGATTACAGACTCACCACCCCACAGCTGCGTACTTTACCTCTTAATATTGTTCTTTAGAATCACTATCTTCAGTGTCATCTGCTGTAAAAGGGAAATGTCTCAGTCTGTTTGTGCTGCTGTAACAAAATACCGTCTATTGCCAAATGGCAGAAGTTTATTTCTCTCAGTTCTGGAGTCTGAAGTCCAAGGTCAAGCACCTGCAGGTTCAGGGACTAGTGAGGGCCCATTTTCTGGTTCATAAATGGTGCTTTCTTGCCAGGTATGGTAGTGCATACCTGTAATTCCAGCAATGAGAGGCTGAGGCAGGAGGATCGCTATGAGTTTGAGGCCTGTACTGCATAGGGAAAACTTGTTTCAAAAAAGAAAAAAAATGGTGCCTTTTCATAGTGTCCTTCTACATGATAGAAAGGAACAAGGCAGCTCTCCAGACCTTCTTATATAAGGGGCAGATCTCATGCATGAGGG